GTATTCGAATTAGCTATGAATAAAAATAAAATTCGTATTGATGTTGATATGTATGTAGGAGCCACACCGTTGTGCGAGTTTATAAATGAAGGAAAATAGTTTTAATTGAATGAAAAACGTTTATTAGATATATGAAATAATGTCTATTATTCAACTGGACGGAAAACAAATATATATATAAGTATAGAAGTACTAATTTGTCCTTTCCTGTTCTTGTTGAACAATTTTGGTACGATGAAAAATCGTGTATTTTTGTTATTTTTTTAATGAAAAACGAATAAATGAAAATTTTGAGTTGAACTTTTTTGTATATATACTAGAGGTCATAGACAAAAAATTAGTACAAATTGGATGACTTTGTATCACTTTATTATAAAGATATAGACGAAAGAAAAAAAAATAAAGATGCTTGTTGATCAATTTTGGTACCCACTGTATATATTTATCAGTTAAATCAAGAATATATGAAAACGTCACAGTTGCAAGAAGTTTTGATGGATTCATTCCACATTCGAATAAGAGCAAATTTGACTGAATTCATTGAAATAATAATACTTGATTTCTATATCAATAAATTGCTTAGTATTAACAAAAAATTTTCTTAATTTTCTATCATAGTTCACGATATAAGAATCAATATTTTACTATTAATGCATCAGCATACACATCTGTTCTTTTTAGTTCATAGATTAGAGAATTTAATATTGATCAACACACATTACGTTGCCTTCATATTTTTTAATTTATCTTGAAACACATTACATACATTCTATATCAGCAAATATGTAGAAAATCTTTTGATCAAATAAAAACGGATTAATTAAGGTCATATGTGTTGATGATTTTTTGATGACGTGAAAACTTTTTAGAGATGTGTAACCAATGAAAAAAAAATAGGACAAGAAAAAAGAAATTTAATCATAGAACTCTGCTATGGACTCTATAAATAGTCAGTACTGTATTCATTTACTATTACATTTATAAAAAAAAAGAATGTTTTGCATGAAATATTTATTCAGTTTGATTCTCTCAAATTGTATTTTTGCTTCACCTCAAATTAATCTTCATTATACGGATTGGATTCTTGAGAGTGAAAACAATAGTGTTTTACCCAATAATTGTTTGCGTGTTGCAGTTGCTAACAATGAAGAAGAAACTTATCGTGAAATTATAATTTATTGTATGTATGAATTATCAACAAAATTTTATATTGAGAAATACAATAGCTTTCCAAAATTTACCTTTGGTGAACTTTCAGAAAAAAATATAACTAGTCAACAGTTATATCTTTGGTCGACTCCAATTGATATTGTTGAACGTTATCAATTCTATTTAAATCAATTATCAACATCAAATGATACATCTTTAGAAACACAAGTTTTCTATAATTGTACATTTCCAAGATTCGGTCCAATGTGTCAATATGAAATGAATTATTTTAATGAAAATCAGTCATCTTTATATGATGTTATTTATAATTATTATAATAATCAATCATATGATTCAAATTTTTTGACATGCTATATTCATTTACAATGTAATCGTGGTCCTTTTCCATTATGTATAAATTGGAGAGAAATTTGTGATGGAATTGTAAATTGTATTGATAGTAAATTTGATGAAGAACATTGTTGGCAACTTGAAATTAATGAATGTAATGACAATGAATACCGATGTACTAATGGACAATGTATACCAAAGTCATTTTTTAGAGATAATCCTAATGTTCCTGATTGTATCGATACCTCGGATGAATATGGAATCGAAAATTCAGTTCCTTATCAATGTTCTAAAGGTGAGCCTTCATTTAAATGTGAAGATGTTGGATATACCTTTTCCACACTGTTAAAGTATTTTAACAGTGCCACTTTGAAATTGCACATTGAAGCTTCATATTCAGCCAAAGATGATTCGATGTCTGAACAATGTTGGTCAGCTTTTAAATCACTTTTTGATTCAAAACTCTTCAATAAGATCTGTGAAACAACAAAATGTGAAGAAATTATTAACAAGACATGTCCAGATATGTTTTTCTTTCCAAATGTTCCACTTCTTTTGGGTGAAATTTACTTTGCACATAGAAAAAGTAACTTTTTAACAATATCCTCCTATCGAAATTACATAATACCTTATATATGTTATAATAGTTCTTACTATGATGACTATTTCATTAATACAACAATGTTGATATTCAAAAATACGAAATGTTTCTCCTCTCATTTGTTCAAAATTCCTTACTCGAATGGAATTTTATGGATGTATCAATATGATACTGACTTTAAAACGCTTATTGATGCTCTCAATAAATATTATCTATTTTTTAATTATACTTCTACAATTTGCAATAGATCAAACATGTATCAATGTGTTAATTCATCGAAATGTATCTCAAAATATCGTCTCATGGATAGTAGATCGGATTGTCCTAATGGAGACGATGAAAATTTGAAGCATATTATTGATGTTGATCTAATAGAACTCTTAAAAAACCATATGAAATGCAAAATATCTAATACATATATTGCACCATCACTTATAAATGATAACTATTGTCATTGTCCAGTTAAAAATTTATCTTGGTGTGAAAATGAACTTAAGAATTCTTCTTTTTGTAATAATGAACTCGATTCGAATGAGTGGTGTGAAGATGAACCTAAATATGTTTTCTCTATTCAAAAGAATATTTCATTTCAAACAGTTTGTGATGGTTTTATTGGAATATTTCCAAGAAAAATTGAAGGAATAATTGAAACTGATGAAACAGGATGTGAACAATGGTCATGCAATAACATTTATACTTATTGTGATGATATATGGGACTGTCCTCGTGGTGAAGATGAAATTGGTTGTCACTCATTTTCAAAATTAAATTGTTCTTCAGATTATCATTTATGTGTTTTACCTGACACATATCAATTGGCATGTATATCTATTGAAAAAATTAATGATGGTACAATCGATTGTCTTGGTGCTACTGATGAGCCTACATTATGTCCAGGACAGCATAATCTGTATTTTAACTTGAACTTTTATTGCACATATGAAGGCAATAGAAAATGTGTATCTAGGTCTAATCTATGCAATAACAAGAAAAATTGTGATCAAGACGAAGATGAACAATTTTGTATTAAAAATCGAAGTGTTTCCATCAAAAAACATTTTTGTGATGTCTCAATGCAATCTTATCTTTCTGATGTTGAGAAATTTCTATGTCGAGTAACACGAGCAAAACTTAGACAAATAATAAAATATTTTTCATTAAATGGCCTTGATACAGAGAATAACCCTGTGGTACCCGATACAACAAAAACTGTACTTTCAAAATCAACTATCTTAGAAACTCGTCAAAACTATCAACGTCAATGTCATCGTGGTCTTGCCTTACGTGTCTGGTTAAATGATGAGAAGAACTTAACAACAAATACATGTTTGTGTCCACCTAGTTATTATGGTGATCAATGCCAGTATGAAAATCAACGAGTAAGTTTGACCATTAAATTTCAAGCATTATCAGATTCTTGGTCAACTTCATTTGCAATAGTTATTTCACTTATTGATAATAGTAAAGAAAGAATAATTCATTCGTATGAACAATTTACTTATTTATCATCACAAGATTGTAAAATCAAATTTAATATTTATTTACTGTATTTAACTCGACCAAAAGATTTAACCAAAAATTATGCAATACATATTGATTTCTATGAAAAATTTTCATTAATGTATCGAGGAAGTTTACTATATCCAATAAAATTTTCGTTTTTACCTGTTCAACGTCTTGCATATATGGTTATTATTCCACAACGTAATGAAAAATTTCAAAGTTGTTCAAATTCTCATTGTATTCATGGTAAATGTATTGTATATTACAATACTCTACAGAATAATACTTTTTGTCAATGTCATCCTGGATGGTCTGGACGATATTGTACTATTCCATATACTTGTACATGTTCATCAGATTCAATATGTATTGGTGTATCTGCTTATAATCGATCAATATGTATTTGTCCTATTAATAAATTTGGTTATCGATGTCTTATTCCTAATACAATTTGTCAAATGAATAATAATAATTTAACATGTCAAAATGGTGGTCAATGTATTCCTATTGATGAACATATGTCGTCATCGAATAAAAAATTTTCATGTATTTGTCCAAAAGGTTATAGTGGAGATCGATGTGAAATAATTGATAACAAAATAACTTTAACATTTGAAGAGGATATTGTTTTGTCCCAATCAATATTTATTCATTTTATTGAAGCTATTAATGGTCGTGATCCAATTAGAACAACTACTTTTCGAACAATTCCTCTAACACAAAATTCACTTACAATTTTTTGGTCACGACCATTTCATCTTGCTTTTATTGAATTTTATAATAAAATGTATTATTTAGCTATTATCCAAAAAACTTACCAACAACCAACGAATATTGTTAAAAAGATAAAATCATCCGATCGTTGTCAACATATAAGTGAATTATTTAATGAAACTTTTGTTCAATTAAATCTTATTCGTCGTATAAAATATTATCATTTACCATGTCAACAAAATCTATCAAAACTTCAATGTTTTTATGATGATGTTCATATTTGTCTATGTTATAATCATAGAAAACAGCGTGTAGCAAACTGTTTTCAATTTAATCATAATATGAAATTGGATTGTCTCGGTCAAAGCGTTTGTGAAAATGGTGGCCAATGTTTTCAAGATAGTGAAGATTGTCCAGCAAGATCAATATGTATTTGTCAACCGTGTTTCTTTGGAGCTCGCTGTCAATTTAGTTCGAATGGATTTGGTTTATCAGTTGATGCTATTTTAGGTTATCATATTCAACCAAATATTAGTTTTTTAAATCAATTAACTATTGTTCAAATTAGTTCAGTATTAACAATAATATTTCTAATTGCAGGATTTATCAATGGAATTTTATCTTTAATTACATTTAATAATAATAAAATATGTGAAGTTGGTTGTGGTTTATATTTATTAGGTTCATCAATAACAACTTTACTTACAACAATTTTATTTGGATTAAAATTTTGGATACTTCTTTTGGCTCAAATGGGAATTATAACAAATCGATTATTTTCAATAATACAATGTTTATCTCTTGATTGTCTTTTACGAATTTGTCTTAATATGGATCAATGGTTAAATGCATGTGTAGCAATGGAACATGCTCTTACAATAATGAGAGCTACCGATTTTCAAAAGAAAATAAATGCGGAAACTTCGGATTTAAATCCGAGAGTTATGTGTACTTCAAAAAGTGAATCATACAAATCAATCATCCTAGACTGTCTGAATATCAAAATTATACTGTGAAATCTACCATTTAAAATGTTGATTTCTATTGCGCGTTGCCAAACCAATAGGACATGGGACCGAATACAGCTCAAGTTTGAACTCTTTCCCTTGATTTACCCTAAGAAAGTCGTTTTTCCTATAATTTCATTTCTATTGGTCACTGCACAACTAATAGTATTTCGATGGAAGTGCAGTACACATTCGAGTTCTCCATATCTGAAAACCTCGAAGTATCATCAGTGTGACCAGAAGATAAAGCTCTATTTGTGGATCAATTAGATCGTGGACCAAAATATAACCTAGTTCTCTTTAATTATCCTTGTCATTGGTAAGTCAACCTTCTTGTTTCTTTATGCTTTATATATCATTTTGTAGTTCTTGAAATTCTCTATCGAATGGTATATAATAGTTGGGGTTTTAATTGACTATGATAGGAAAAGTCTTTTACGAAAGTCGCGATGGGTCCATTTTTCCACAGAAAGCTATAGAGAAAAATGGGTATTTTTGCAATAACTCAGGAACGGCTCGGCCGATCGTTCTCATCTTCGAACTCGATCGAGACATTGTCAAGACTAAGCTGTGTAGAAAGTTTCATCGCAATCTGACTCTGCTGTCAAAAGTTATCATGTAAACAGCCAACCGGACGGACGGACACACTGACTATTCTATAGTGTACTCACTTTTTGAGGACACAAAACTATGATTCAGTTCAAAACTAATATCAGATTCAGAATCAGCGTTAAAAACTGAGTCGATTTATATATTTTGTGAATAATTATGAGCAAAAATGTTTTTTTCGAAAAATCTCCGTACCCCCCCTCAGGGGTGGTCTGGTCAAAAATCACAATTTTTTCGATAACTCAGCCATTTCTTGGCGGATCCTTCTCATATTCGAACTCGACCGAGATATTGTCAAGACTAAGCTGTGTAGAAAATTTCATCGCAATCTGACTCTCCTTTCGAAAGTTATCGTGTTAACGGCCGGACGGACGGCCGGACGGACGGACACACAGATCGATTTTAGTAGTGTACTCACTTTTTGAGTACACTAAAAATCAGTCCGCTTGCTCGAGCCATAGCGGAGATATTTAGTTTTTTCTTGGTATCGTCACTTTTGGACCATATACAGGGTTGCCCCCAAAGTCAGTTTACAAAAATAAAAATTGAGTATCTCTATTACGGCTCTAGCAAACAAGTTGATTTTTTTTACCAATAATAGAGGCATGTTCAAACTTCATATCCATAAGGACACGCCTAGAGAGACTCTTTGTTAAGTATCACTATTGATCTCAACAAAAGAAGTTTTACTTTTTGACAGATAGGAGAAAAAACAATATACTTAACAAAGGGTTTCACTAGGCATGTCTTTATGGATATAAACTTGATACATGCCTAGCTATCACTGATAAAAAAATCAGCTCGTTTGCTCGAACCGTAATAGAGATATTCAATTTTTTTTGGGTAAAGTGACTTTTGCGCCACCCTGTAGAATATGACCAAGAACAAATTTGTAGCTAAGAACCAGGACAAAAGAATGATAATATTGTTTTCAAAAAATATATTATTCCTGAAAACCTGCATAATATTGCAGTAACGTCCTGATATTTTGTTTTCTGAACATTTTTACATTAGGATTAACTGTTTTGTTCAGAACTTCAGAGAGTATATTTCATATTTTATTCTCACATCCTCTTTCACAATCACATGTTGATAGTAATCTTAACGGCACCATATTTTAAAATTTTTTGTCATGTGGTGCTTGCTTTCTATTCTCCTTCTTCCTGTACATGAGTCATATTTTTTTCGTCTTTTTACATTATACGCATAAAACATAATGTATTCTGATTCATTTTGCCTCCTCCTTATTTTACTCATTTCGTTCTATTTTGTACGAGATATATTTGATATTACTCATTGAAAAGGTAATTCGCAACGCAATAAATACTCAAGAACCTCTAAAATAAATACACTCATTGCATATTCTCAACGCATATTATAGACAAATGGGCAACAGTAGTAGTAAGAAACATAATAAAACTGGTGAGTGCTTTTTATTTTTTGAGAATAATCATTGAATAGATGTTTATTAAATGAATTATTCAGCTTATATTCCATCGGGAACGGTGAACTCGACAAGGCGTAAGAATCATTCGAGAAATTTGGCAAATCAAGCCGTTCTGATGTCAACTATAGCAGCCAATTCAACAGCTATGTCGGCAACGGCATCCTGCTGTGATAGTGGTGTTTGTAACACTGGAGGAGGGTTCGGATGTTAATGATTCGTTTCTTTTTCATTTGTGCTTATATAAAAATAAAAGCTTTCGTAAGAAACCAACATGGTGATCTTTCTCGTGAGTTTCAGTGTCTTTCTGACCTTTCAGCTACCAATTATTTCGACATTTTCTGTCAATTGATTTACAAATTCCATTTGTCGAAAAAACAATATAGAATAAGCAAGAAAGGCATCGAACACGATCAATGCTACAAATGAATATCGTCCGTCGAAGCACGATGGAATTCTTCACAATCAATCGAAGTACTCTTAGGACAATTACTTATGCCACTCAACTTCAGTTCATCACTTCGATTGAGATAATCAATCATTAAAATTGACAATGAACATAATGTTGCATTTTCGGCTATTAAAAGAGAGATGAGGATATGTATTCAAATAAACATTGTCTGTTTGTTATATGATTGAATTCTAATACAGATATTGATGCTGCTGATAAAAATGCAATATTAACCTGTGTCATTGACGACATACAACTATGTGCAATTAAACGCTCGACATTCGATCAGAAGCTTGATGTTAATCTAAGATTATTATCGACACGAAATAATTCATTATCTCAAACTGAGAAAAAACTTCCTATCTACGCTAGTCTGTCGAGCAGAAGTTTTACACTATGATCGAATCATTTCATTCAATGGCATCAATATTGAGAAGAACTCTTCAGGAATTTAATGAACGCTGCAAGGTCGATCGTAATCCTCTACTACAGTGAATTGTTTGTAGCCAGGCTACATATAAATATTATAAATCGAAGAACTTGTGTTTGGACAATAATCTTTCAAGTGTGAAATATCTACAACTAGTGAAAGACACTCTACGTAATAATCACTTCAATCGTGTGTTGTTTCAAATTGAGATTGATGTTCGTTTACTGACAAAATATTTAGCTAATATCGAAGGAATTAGTTAGTATCCAAAAGAATGATAAATATTATTTTTGTTTGTATCCATATTTCGCATCCACAATATTGTTTACAACAATCGATATGCATTGTGGGTATTAGATTTGAGTCTTGGTAGTTATGATGATTTTAAATTAAAAGAGGATTTTACTTATCTGAAACCCGATATTGGAGGGAAGACATCTATGGTGACATCGGGCAATCTTTTCCTTCAAATGGGTGAACATGATAAAGCTGAAAAAATATTTCTATGAGTTGAGTGCGGGGGTGTGGGTCGAACTGGGTGTGTGGTTGTGAGTGTTTTAGTTCATAAAGACGTACACCCCAGGCTCACACCCACACCCACACATCCACACACACCCACACCCAAAAAAAGTTCTTACGTATTTTAAGATCAACTGTCTATAAAAGTTTTAGTTATTGTTCTATTTGCATTTGATTGTACAACACCTTGTTTAGAATTACGAAAAAAGTACATTTATGTTATTTTCGAATGTATTTACATAATTCAATTTCCCGTTTTAATTGTTATTTTTATTGATGTTGTATATCAATTATGTATTTGGAAAACGAATACTACTT